TCTTTCCCTTTCATCCATCTTTTCCCACCATCCGCAGCCAGTCAATGAGCACCCAGTGCCAGGCAGTGCTCTCAGCAGTGCTCTTCAGCACCATGCTGTGGCTCTTGCTCATCTTCACCATGCGCCTGTGCCTCAAGCAGCTTCTTTCCTATCACCGCTGGATGTTTGAGCAGCATGGCAAGATGTCCAACACCACCAAAGTCTGGGTGGTCAGTGCTGGTTGACACATTTTCTGCTTATTGTAAACATGTCTGTGCAGATTCTCAGTCATCCAGGTCATAGTAAACTGAAAAAACTACAGGACGTTTCACCTCCCATCCAAGAGATCAGAACTGATGAAGCCTCTTGGATGAGAAGTGAAACGTCTTCGACCTAGAAATCCAAGTCCAGTTGATTTTTTTTCTAAGTTTTTTCTGCTTATTGTAAACTAACCACACCTGAGACTGTCCCTCAGTTCTGTGACCTTTGTTGGCACAGTGTAATGTCATTAGGGTTTGAGCAGTATACTGGTTTCACTTTATACCATGGTATGAAAATTAATGGTTATCATACCATGGACATTTGCTTACTACTGGTATTGAAGAAGAAAACCCAGTATGTGCGCACCTTTATTTCCCGGCTGCCTGTCAGACTTCGTAACAGTCAGCACCCGTCTGGCTGTGCTGTCGTGTGTCTATAGTAAATTAGCGACTATTTTTATAATTGTTTAGAGCATTACAATGGGACTTCTCACTATTGTCAGAAGTTTTACAAAGCAGCCAATCAGTTAATGGAGAAAATAATCTGAATTTAATCCCTAATGAAAATAATCAATATTTGCACTTGGATACAGATTAGTTCAGCAGAGCTTCACCTCAGCCAACTATATTAAGGTACAGGTGTGACGGGCTGTTAATGAAATGAAATAATATATAATAGTGTAGTGTAACATTTTTCTGCATTGAGTAGCCTACTTCGACTTTTAATATTTTAAGTACATTTTTGTGATAATACCTAATCTTACTTAACGTTTTCAATGCAGGACTTTGTTATATAACATGTTATAGTTATATGCATTTTTTTAAAATCATATTTATAATCCTGTTTATTCATTAGGGTCAATCTAGCTCTGCAGCCCAGCTCAGTCAGTTGTCACAGTCACTTGCAATAAAAAAAAAGACCCTTTTGTGTCCTTTGAGCGTCGTCGTAGCTGATAATAACACCATATACCATAATACTGTGATATTTTGTGAGATCGTACTGTGAAAACATTGCAACCCTAAATGTAATATAAACCTCATCAGTTTTTTATTTAAAAGTAGCAAAATAGTTTTTATGTCCTCACTTACTATGAAAATGTTCAAGTTCATGCTCAGAAAATGTTTCCAGTAATATATAGTGAATAGATAAATGAGGAAAATTAGGCATTAAGTTAAGATAATCTATTAATAAATATTTGTTATAAAATATTTATTTTTTTTTAAAAACATTTTTATACCTAATTTTTGTGATATATTCTGAAAAACTACGCAGTTAAAAATAGAATCCAAACTGTTAGCTCTGTGTCATCACTTTAATGCTTTCAGTGCATATGTGCTTGTTTCTTTGTGCCAGGCGCTGGTGAGGATCTTTTCTGGCAGAAAGCCGTTGCTCTACAGCTACCAGGGTTCGTTGCCAAACCTGCCTGTGCCCAGCATCAAGGACACAGTCAAGCGGGTGAGGTGTCACATGGCGAATGAATTCACAACACTTGTTTACTGATTGAAAAACAGATGGATCACGTTCTCACACTCAGTATTATCTGCTTCTATTGCACCATATTTCCTTTGTCTAGGTTAGCTGAGGAGATGGTTGCGATATGAATAAAAATGCAAAATATATCTGTCTGTCTAAACTCGGATATATGTGACAGAAGAGCGGAGACAGAATGGAGAAGAGATTCTGTATCAGGAGAATTAGATGTGGTTGGAATCCTGCTAGTAATTTTATTTCTGTTGAGTGATGCTTGTTATTATTTATTTGAACTGTGGTTTGTTTACTGTAGCATATGTCTGTTGTTTAGTATTTGGAATCGGTGCGTCCGCTGATGGATGATACCCAGTATGGACGCATGACCAAGTTAGCCACAGAGTTCGAGAGCAGCCTTGGTAACCGCCTGCAGTGGTACCTCAAACTAAAAGCTCTCTGGGCCGCCAACTACGTAAGTGGTTGACCACAGTGTTCTCCTTAAGTGTGGTTGCTGCAAACATCACTGGGCACAAAAGAGTCCAGAAGAAATGTCAAATTCCATTCACAATGCATGACTTCTTTTAGTTTTTGTGGTGTGAATTATTTATCCTGTCTGAATGTGCAAGTGAAGTAACTGCTAGTTGCAATATTAGCTTTCTCACTAAAGATTTTTTGTGGCTGTGTGTTTTAGGTTAGTGACTGGTGGGAGGAATATGTCTACCTACGGGGACGAAGCCCAATCATGGTCAACAGTAATTACTATGGCATGGTATGAAATCTCAAGAATTGTCCTGTCTAATGTGGTGTAGTCCTCACTTTGACCTGACATATTGGACATGTATGGGTCTTACAGCTTATTTTTTTTTATTTATTATTTGTTATTCGGCCTTTGAGATATTTAACAACTTGTTATGTGAATCATTTGCGGGTGACTTGTTTTCACCAGGACAGAATTTGTTAGACTGCGACAGCTACTACATCTTTTGTTTATTGATGAGAACACAATAACAATAGTTATAAATAAAGTATTTCTAATTCAGACCTTTGCAAGGGCCGAGACCTGTGGCCTTTTAATCCCAGGCATACTTGCAGATCATGTTATTTGGGTGATAGTCATCTCATCTCTTACACTTTCTCCTGACTTCTCTGTTCGTTTTCTCCTCAGGACTTCTTGTACGTAACACCCACACCCATCCAGGCGGCCAGGGCAGGCAACAGCATTCACGCTTTCTTCCTATACCGCCGCAAACTCAACAAAGAAGAGATAAAACCTGTGAGTCCAGCCGCTAGTCGACCCCAGCTGCTACATATAGATAGATGATGGAGTTTATTATTCATGTGTCTTTGCTATGGCAACACAATGTTTGTCTCAAATGTTGAGACACATAGTTATTAGTGGAACCTCAAAATGTTATGTTAATGGTTAATAATCTGTATGTTACAATATGCATGGGGCTGTCAGTATGTGTTTTTATTGTTTTTTTGTTTTTGTTTTTTTTTGACTGTGCGAGTGACATCCATCCATCATGTTATTGTTTCTTTACTGTTTATGATAGATATCATAAACAGTCATAAGATCATTTCCCTCATGTTCATCTCTCACCTGCTCCTTTTGTACTCTTTCACCTCTCCTTTGCCTCCTTGAGTTTTTTTTTTATTTGCCTGCCTCTTTTCCTTTCCTTCTGCCTCCTCCTCTCCATTTCCCAGGGTCGTATCCCAGGCACTTTCATTCCTCTGTGTGCAGCTCAGTGTGAGAGGATATTCAACACCACACGCATTCCTGGAGAGGAGACTGGTAAAGAGACTGACATATACACACACAGTTAGCTTAAAGAAGGAAGTCGGCTTCTAGCTTTAGAGTGAATGATGTTATCTTACCGCTGCTTCAGAGATGATGAGGCATACTGCAGGTGTCTGAATCCTCTGGAGCTTAAGCGTGGGATAAAAAATTGCGTCTCCTGACTCGAGGTGCCTGTGATTCACTGAGTCAGACTGTGTCTGCTTTACAGCCCATCCTCCCATTTCTCATCTGTCTCCTCTTGTCTTCTGGTCTTATCCCTGTCTGGGCTTCTGGAAAGAGTCTGTCTTTAACTAATGTCAGTTTTCTTCCACCTACACATTTTGTTTTCCCCTCTTCTGTTTGCTCTGTTCCCTGGTTTCTTTTCTGTTTCATCACAATGCTTTATTTCTTCCATCCTTTTTGCTTCCTCTCTTTCTCTCCTCTACTTTGTTTTTCTACTGGCTCATCCGTCTTTATCCTGCTCAGTGGTTGTTGAGGTCTGCAGTTCCTTGCTGTTCCTATCAGTTTGAGCGGATGTTTAACACTTGTCGAATCCCTGGAGCACTAACAGGTAACATTCATGTTTTTACACAACTGGACAAGTGTTAGTTCTAGATCTTGAAATGTCAACGCAATAATGTGATAGCAAATAGAAGTGTGCTCAACATTGTTGCTATGTATAATTAAGAATTTAAAATCGAGCTCCAGCCCTGTCTTGTATGCAGTAAATGTTCCTGTTCTATCAAAGTGAGCCACTATCTTTATAATCACCCTGTGAGTAGTTTCAGATTAGAAACTGCTAAGAAAAGAAACACACCTGCAACCCTGCTTTCAGTATTGCAGCACTGATCTTTACTCATGCAGGCCTCCTACAGTATGTCTTCATTCTTCCATTTATTAAGTAGACCTTAAGCTATCCATTTAGTCTTCTCATTAAGTGTAGTAGCTCTCTATTGGAGTTGTAGTGTCAAGATGAAGATATTGGATTCAGATCCAAAGTGAACAAGTAGTGTAAACTAGTGTATCCAGTGTTTGTATATATTGTACATCAAACCATAATTGTTCAGCTTTGTGATTTTTTTTTTTTAAGATTCTTCATATAGAATGCATGTCTCAGTCAATGTTTATCCTGTGGGTGGTGGATGTCTCTTGTTTCCAAAGGCTCTGTATTTAAACACAGTTTACCATGTAGCTTGTATGACAGGTTTATAGTAAGGCAGACTTAAAGTAAACACATCATCTCTGATGTATTTGTTTCCATGGCATGGTATTGGTTAGCATCTCACCACCTAATCTACTCTAAATTACAGAAAGTCCCACTAAATTACAAACTAAATATTTACTTTCCTCTCTGCCTTTCCCCCTCTTGTTTATGTCCGAAGACACTGTGCAACATTGGCAGGACAGTGACTACATAGTGGTGTACCACAGAGGTCGCTACTTTCGGCTCAGGGTGTACCAGGCTGGCAGACTGCTGTCCCCCAGGGAGATTGAATTCCAGATTCAGAGAATCCTGGATGACCCTACGCCTCCTTCCAGAGGAGAGGCCAAACTTGGTGCCCTGACTGCTGGAGACAGGTCGGTTTGACAAGCCACCAGTGTTTAAATCACAAGCACCATACACAGCACTGCATCTTCAATGTAATGTCATCATTCTCCTCTGAAATGTTTCCCAGAATTCCATGGGCTAAAGCCAGAGCAAAGTATTTCAACAGTGGCGTCAATAAACGCTCTCTAGATTGCATTGAGAGAGCCGCCTTCTTCGTGACCCTGGATGATGACGACGAACAGGGCATGATGGGAGATGACCCGGCAGCCAGTTTAGATCGCTATGCTAAGTCCTTGTTGCATGGGAAATGTTATGACAGGTAATTTGACACTAAGCTGCTTGGAATTGTGCAATTTAGGAACTAGTTTTTCTTGTTATGCTGTTGGTATTTTCCCCATGGTAACCATCCATTATCTCGGTTGTCATGCAGGTGGTTTGACAAGTCTTTCTCAGTTGTTTACTACAAGAATGGAAAAAATGGCATCAATGGAGAGCACTCGTGGGCTGATGCACCAGTGGTGGCACACTTATGGGAGGTAAGGAAAGAAAACTGGTTGTGCATGTTGTCATGTGCTTCTGACTATTAATTGTTGTATTTTTTCCAGTACACCCTGGCCACTGACTGTTTCCAACTGGGTTACAATGCAGAGGGTCACTGCAAGGGAGAAGTGGATTCATCACTACCACTCCCACAGAAGCTGAACTGGGAAATCCCTCCAGAGGTTACTTGTGCATTCATTCCTTTAATCCTTTGGTGAAACAACACAGGCTCTTGCTCTCCTGTCAGCAACCATCTATACTGGCTTTTAATACAAGCATCAAATCTGTTTTGAAATGATGCATGTACTGTAAACATAAGTGATATTAAGCTTATACTATAACATTAAGATTGTACTCACTTGCAGTTAGAATATTCCTACATTTAATAGGTGATGTAGCATGCTGGCATCTTATTTTGCTAGTTCTCCCCTTCTCAGTGAGAGTGTACACCACCATGGCAGGACAGGAGGCAACAAGTATTATTAAAAATATTATTCTTATCATATTATGCATGGAAAGATTGTCTTTATTGTCACTGTTGGACCTTTGTGTCTGGATAGGCTATCGGGTTTATATTCATTTATCACAGTGCCTGTATAACACTTACCAGTACTTTTAGATTGTATTTATTAACAAATTATATCTCATTTGATTCTTTTTTTTTTTTTACACAAACCAGAATGTAAAAAGACACGTTTTACAGCACTGATCTAGATCTTGTATAGGGACGGTAACTTCCTGGAGTCTGGAGGCTTGTTGCCTGGCAACATGGCGGTAACGGCAACAGTCCAGCTGACCTAATGTAGTTTCATATTTGGAGTATAAATTTGTATTTGCATTGTTTTACCGCAGTACTCTGTATTACATGAGCATGAGAGATGTAAAAAGGCATGGTAAAAGCTGACTCAGCAATATGGAAGCACAGCGTGTTCTTTTGAAACCACCGTGCACCAGTTCCGGGTACATCAGTCCTGCTGGCGTTAACTGTTTGATGTGTCTGTCGCAGTGTGAGGAGCAGATCTCTCAATCTCTGGCAGTGGCCCAAGTCTTGGCCGACAATGTTGACTTCCACGTTTTCCCCTTTCAAGACTTTGGCAAAGGAAAGGTCAAGAAGTGTCACGTCAGTCCAGATGCCTTCATTCAGATGGCTCTACAGTTGGCCTATTACAGGGTGAGCCTCTCTCTGAAGTGTGACAGAAGTATATGATACATAGACTTTTATACATGAGGGACGGTCTGCTGTTGTTTTGGCTGTGTACTTCAGCATACTGGATCTGAAAGCAGACAGCGACCACAAAGGTAAAGTGCTGATTGTCAGCTGTAATATGTGGGGTTTACATCCAGACGGGGTAAACAGTGGAGTCCTATCACTGTCCTGCTGTGCCTGTTCAGAAATGAGGGAGACTGTGTTTATGTAGAGATACAGTTCCTGCACGGTTTATCCAGTATGGATGTGTAACGCTGAAGCTCAAAGTCAGCGGTTTAACTCCACTCAGTTCATTTTGAATTAGATACACTGTAGCACAGTTGCTTAACTATGCTATTGTTGAAATACTTACTACTGCATGTTACATGTTGAATTAGGACCTGTGAACATAAAATTTGTGACTGTCAATATTATCTGTTGCATCTGAGTTTTGTTTGCGTTTCAGGAACGGAGGACGTTCTGTCTGACATACGAAGCCTCCATGACCCGTCTGTTCAGGGAGGGCAGGACTGAGACTGTCCGCTCCTGTACCAATGAGAGCAGCGCCTTTGTCCGAGCGCTGGAGGGTGGAGAGGTGAAACCACAGAAACTGTCTCTTGATTTTCAGCATTTTTGTTGGAGAATGTAATAGTAACTCAAAAGGGGATAATTACAGGGTTTCTGATGAAGACACATCTGCATTGCAAATGATGATGTCTAACTGCTATTTTCCTTGCATAAATCAAACAGAGTTTATTTTTAATATGTGCTATGCCAAGCTGTCACGCTGCTCATGCCGTTCTCCAACAGGCACCAGATGTGTGCAGGCGTTTGTTCCGTGCGGCATCAGAAAAGCACCAGCTTCTATATCGCATGGCTATGACCGGAGCTGGCATCGACAGACACCTCTTTTGCCTCTATGTGGTGTCCAAATACCTCGGAGTGGAGTCTCCTTTCTTGAAAGAGGTTTTGTTCTGTCCTTGTGTCATCTTATTGATATCAGACAGTGAGAGTTGGGCATTTATGTCTGTAGCAAAGCTGTTATAGGATGGACTTCAGCAAACTGATGTGATGGCTGCGTGTGGCTGTTTCAGGTGCTGTCTGAGCCCTGGCGGCTGTCCACCAGTCAGACTCCAATCCAGCAGGTGGAGCTGTTTGACATGGTCAACTACCCAGAGTACATCTCCTGTGGCGGAGGCTTTGGTCCGGTCAGTGCTTCAGTCACAAAAGTCTAAACAGGGAACTTATATTTACACATTGTAGCATGTAAACTTACTAGTTTTGTCAATATAATTCCACTCTCCTTTTACATACAGTAGCATTTAATAGGAGGATGCAAGCCTGTCTTTCCAGTCGAGACAATCCATCCTAATGGCTGTACTCAGTTTGTGATATAACAATACCAGTACATGTCTTTTGTCACTATGTAAAAGTATATAAGCTGTATGTTTAATTCCGTGTGTGTTGTAATGCGTCTTGCATACAGTGCAGGTGCTGCTTTTGTGGCAGCGGTTCTGTGTTCTGATTGAGTGTAAATATCACCTCTATGGGTTTCAGGTGGCTGATGACGGTTATGGGGTGGCCTACTGCATTTTGGGGGACAACCTAATTAACTTCCACATCTCATGCAAACACTCCTGTCCAGACACTGTGAGTTTAATGAAAGTAGTCATTTTATGTTGCATAATATTTCTGTAGTTGTGTCTGAATGAAAGGCTAGTATCACTAAAGTTTTAAGCTTATGAAGGTGATTCACATTCACACCAGACTGATAGTGGATTATTGAGGTAGATACCTATAACAGTCCTTTAGATAAAAAAAAAAATCAATAACATTAAGTAGAACACATTGTTTTTAGTGTACAGCTTTTGGTTTTGATAGTATTTGGTCTTAACTCTGTCTCTGTTATTTAAATTGATGTAACCACTTTTGTAAAATACATATTCTTTTTCCTCGTTCATTATTCTGTTTCTCTCTTCTAGGATGCTCATAAGTTTGGTGCTCGGATCAGAAAAGCCCTACATGACCTGATACAGCTGCTGAGCCCCGACCAAAAGGAGCCCAACAAAATGGAAGAGAGTCAGCCTGATGTCAAGAAAGACCAGTAAACAGTTACTCAGGGTAAAGGGGTGCTGAAGGGAAGGTGGGCAAACAAAAGTGTAACATAATAAAGTGAGGAGAGACATTTACTCTTCATACAATGGGGTAAATTTTATAGTAAGGTGTTTGAGATATGATGGAAGTGATGTTTTTACTGATGAGTTTGTGTGTGTGCGTGTGTGTGTGTGAATAGAAAAAAAAAGTCCATAGAATAACAAATAAATAAGCGTGATGCAAATACAGTGATTTGTTGGTTTAGTTTTGTTTTAACATGTGACCCAGTGAAAAATATAATCAGCACCCCTACAGAGAACAATAATTTCTGACATGGTTTGATTCAGGCCAGTGTGAATTGCACCACTCAAAGTTAGGGTGGAAATTCCTAACACCACCCTTAGTGCAGGGAGTCATTTAATATAAATCCAAGTGCACTATGTTTTGACACCATTAAGTATGCCACAGTTTTTGTGCCGCTGATTGTCTGTAGAATTTGTTAGAAGGCAGTTTGAAGTGGGGGATTTCAACAAACAGGACTGTTGAGGTGACTTCAATTTTTACTTATAAATGCAACATTGCTGTAATGGTGACACCAGGTATTTTAACATTTTAGGACTTCTCAGTGTTTGCTCATTGTGTATAAATTGGCTTTTTACATATATTATTGTAAAGCGCTGCAGTGAGTGCCAGGGTTTAGTCATGGCGCTGTTGGCATTACTGTTTGATTATATATAGTATTGTATTCAGTACACACAGGAATTAACTTTTTTTTTTTTTTCTTCAAGAATATCCAAACTGTACTCAGAATGTTGGTCACTTTTCCATTCTGTTGTCAGTGGGCATTAAAAACGACTGTAAAGAACTCGTTATTTGTTGTTATAACATTTTTGTGCTTTAAAATGTTATCACTATTTATGTACGCCATGCGCAGATATTCTTTCTCAAGCAGTGCTACAGATCAGATTTGCATAAAGTGAAGTGACATCCTGCAGTCAGGCCATTTGATGTACAGGATGGTACTGTATGTTACCAGTGACGCAGATTCCTCTGTTATTTGCCATTGATTGCTGTCTGTTTTTTTTTGTTTGACTTCAGATCAGTTGAGCTTGTCTCATAATATATGGTCAGTCATTTTTAATGTAGTATGATGAGGGAAAATAAAGTCATTCTTAAAGAAAAGTTTTGTTTTTTCTTTTTCTTTAGAAGAGTATTTGACTAGTATTGCACTCTAATAACATTGATTCATGATGGACAGTTAAAAATATAAACATTGATGCAACATAAGCAGAAATACACCTTTCTTTCTTGTCAAAAACTGGTGCTTACATTACCCAAAATGCAGCATGAGTCACATCAGTTCACTTGGAGATTCACGTGTTTTCTCCATTTTATAAATAGTTAGAAAATCCATGATTCTTGCACAAATGTTTTCTCATGCAAGGTGACCTGCATGCATCGTTTATCTCGGGTTTCACACATGTGGTTTAACTGTTCAAAAAGCCTTTTGTCTTTATAGTAATTCAGTTTGCATTTACAAACTCAATATTTGCATTCCACAGAAATATCTGTCAGCTGGGTAGTTGTGTTTTATGACCTATTCATGTTACATATTGTGCTGGATATTCAGTAGCTTGCTAATATTGTACTTATAAGTGATATTGTTTGTTTATCTTTTTGCATGTTGAAGTGCTTTTGCTTTTCATTCAAAGATAACTATCTTCTGCCCAGAATAAGAGTGAGAACAGCTTCCTGTGAAACACTGAGACTGGATAGTTTGTAATAGGGTGTCAGTGATGTTTGGAGCCTTTCCATCCTGCACTGTAATCTCTCTAGCTTCACAGTTATATCTTGATAGAAACTGTCTTGTTTTTGTCTTGTTATTCTGTTTCTCTCTTCTTGTTCTGTTCATGTGCTGCCACTTGTCTTTGTGTCTCTTGTTTCAGCTGTGAGGTCACCAACATCCCACTGGTTCATTATCCTGCCTGTCAAACTTCAGCTTCAGACAGTAATAATCCACATGAAGTCTCTGTCCTACTTTTCTAAATCTCTCTCCCGATAAACACATTTTCCAAGTCACCTCTTTGTCACCCCAGAGGACTGCCTATATAAAGCTGAGCTTCCCCCCCGCAGTTGTTTCTCTTGTTTTCATCATCAGTGAACATCTTTCGCTGTGCAGGTATGTCTTTTGACTTTTCCTCTCCACACTGATAAACCAGGACAGTGTTGTGATATTTGAAATCTGTGACCATATTTGTATTTTTCAGATTTTTTTTTTTTTTTTGACGGCAGTGAAAAAGTGATCAAAACAGTACGTAGTACTGTGACTTGGGTGCAATTCTACAATTTCCAGTGCACACCCTTGGGTTTGATTATGTAGTGTCATTTATAGATAACCTGTATTATAATAGATCAAATGATTGTGCGTAATGTGAACAGGGATTAGCCCTGCTGTCAGCTGGATGGGTAAACTGCAGATGTTTAGCAACACATTTGCCATAATATGCTTAAAAGATTCCATTGTGTTAGTGCAAATCAGTTATTGCACTTTTAGCAGTTCAATAATAGTGAATAAATAGTTGATTAAACAACTATTAGCAACAAAATTACCAGACTACTAGCAACTAAATTACAATTACATTCAGTGGGCTTAAAGCATACAGTAATAATATAATAACATGTTTGAACACCAGTGCATCTGTGGACATTGATAAAGGTGCATCTCATCTATTATATTAGGTATGCTGCCTGTTGACAGGTTATTCTTGGAGCCCTTGTCCTCTCTGTCCAGCCGTTGCAGTTAGAATATTCCTAGTGTGACTGTGTTGGTCAGAAGCGTTCAACACTGAAGCAATGTGATGAATTCTTCTGCCAATCCCTCATCTGCCTTTTGCCCATGTGCCCATGTTTATTCAGATTCACATGCTCATGCTCTGAGATCTTGGCTAAAAACTAACTATGGAGGCATCCAAGAGACTCTGGCCTCAGTACTTGATCTCTGTGACAACACGCTCAAAGGCAGGTGTTCTGGAGGGCTTCCAGTTGTTCGCACTGAAAATAATGTTTTGAAAATTGGACTTTTGCTGGTGTGTCGAGCCAGAAACCTATTTTTAACTGCGGTTCATTGGACTACTTTGACTTTGTAAAATGCTGTCTCTCCACTAATAAGTCAAAGTAATGGCTAGGAAAACATTAATGGTGCTCCACACACACTGAGATATCCCTTCAGTAAAACTGTGTGTGGGTCAAATGGATTTGGTTGAGTGGATATGGCTGGTGTTAATGGCAGCCATCCCACATTCTCTCTTGTAAATCAAATTAAACGAGAAGGATTGGCCAGCTGATACTACACTCTTATCCCGGGTAACAGGACACTGCTCTGGCCTGTCATCCTCCAGACCTCATCTATTCCTAGATCATTAATTACAAATGCCCTTAACCTTAACCTACATCTACATCATTTAAAGGTACTTTGCCGGCATATGCTACAGGTCATCCCATACCAAATAAGGCCGCAGCAGTAAACTCATTGTATTGAATGGAGCAAGGCTGTGATTATTGCTTATGAATTAAAGTTTTTTATTTGTAAATGATAATTGTGTTTCAGTCAATGTATCTATTTGTCTGTGTTTGCTGCTGAAACCCTTTGATTTAGTGTATGCAAGTCTGCAAAATGTAATAATAGACAAACCCATGTTGTAATTAGGTGCCAATTTTAAGGCATTCTACACATTAATGCAGCTATTACCCTTCTTAGTGGAACAAGATTTCAAAGCGACCTTTCACATATTGAACTTATGGATTTTCTCTTTAGTGTTACCATGTCTGATTTAGAGGATCATGGGTGAGTCCGTTTATTTCTCATTTATAAACACATCAACATTCATAATATGCGAGCTTCTATTGTACAGTATGTCTGATATGTTACCTTCAATTTTTCTTTCTTTTTTAATTTAGTGGGCATCAGGAGGGTAAGGATATACATTCATTAATTCAATAAATCCAGCCGCTTCATTTTTCCTTTAACACAGTCACTCTTTCTTTGTCCAGAAGAAGAGGAGGAGCAGGGAGAAGGAGGTGAGACTGTGCAATTGCTGTGAACTACAGTATGTAGATTTTTTTTAAACCTTTCTTTAGAAATAACACATTCAACTAGAGGCTATCATTGAAAGTGTCCCCACAGTGCCTTGAAAATGTAAATGTTCATTTGCATAGTTGTATCCATCCAGTTTGTCCATCATCCGTAGCATTGTAAAACACAAGGACTTTGAATCTAAATGTAAAATTAACTTTAAACCTTTAATTGCCTATGAGCATAAAACTACTGTTTTCCTTTTGCAGGGCAGTACACAACTCATGGTTATGGTTACAGTGGCCATAAACTGTGGGTCTTCTAATGTATTAAAACTTAATTCAAATTTGCTTTATGCCTCTTTGCCTACTAGAGTTCAACCAGTTGTGTTTTCAAATCTGGTCTATGAACATAAATTGATTCACTTTTACATTCTTGTTCTGGCTGTCATGTTGAAGAGGAACGCCCCAAATACAAGTAAGAATATAGAGGAAACATAACAAATAATGTACAGAAATAAAAATAATCACTCAAAAAAACCTATATGTTATGTATTTATGTTATTTTAACAGGCCACTGGTCACACAGCTGGCTCCTCCTAAAATCCCTGAGGGTGAGAGGGTTGACTTTGATGTATGTTCCTTCAAGACTGTTGTTAATGAAACAATTATATGATTACATCCCCCAAAAAACAGCATTAAATAATCTGTGTCAACTGGTTCCTGTTAGGATATCCATAGGAAAAGGATGGAGAAAGATCTCCTGGAGCTGCAGACTCTGATCGATGTCCACTTTGAGCAGAGGCAGAAAGAGGAAGAGGAGCTGATTGGACTCAAAGAAAGGATTGTAATTCTTTTCCAATACTGTTTTTCCAACGATTTGTTCATGTTTTTTCAGAGATCTGAGAGAATATACTGACTATTAATAGTGATTAAAGTGTCTGTTGTAGGAGAGCCGGCGGTCAGAAAGAGCTGAGCAGCAGCGAGTGAGGGCTGAAAAGGAGCGAGACAGACAGACAAGGATTGCGGTAATGAATGTTTAACACTGTATTATATATGTTGTGTAATCCGTGCATGTCAACAATTCATATGAGAAAATGCAGTAATAAGCTACAGATCATTTTCCCAGGAAGAGAGACAAAGGAAAGAGGATGAAGAGGCGAAGAAGAGGGCAGATGATGAGGCCAAAAAGAAGAAAGTGCTCTCCAACATGGGAGCTCACTTTGGCGGGTTCCTGGCCAAGGTCAGAATAACAAATTTGTGTCACTCTATTCTGCAAGTGTATGAAGTGCATCTAACTTCAAATTTCCTCTGAAAGAACGATTGTACGTGACAGAGTCCATGTCTTCTGGAAAATGACGTGTTTGTGTCCTGCAGGCAGAGCAGAGGCGAGGCAAAAAACTAACTGCGAGGGAAATTAAAAAGAATACTCTGGCAGAGAGACGCAGGCCCCTGGCCATCGAGAACCTGAGAGAGGATGGTCTGAGGTCAGCTGAAGGTTCATGACTCGATGTATTGATTTGGGTTAATTTAGCGCGCACACACACACGTATGCGGCAAAAAATAGCTAATCACCTTTTTTTAAAGAAATGATTACACCTCAGACATAGAAGGTGCAGTCTACAGTACATTCAGTCATCTCACGCTGTTTTATCGTTGTTGTCTTTTAGAGAAAGAACCAAGGAGATGTGGGAAAGGATCTATCAGCTGGAGTCAGAGAAATTTGACCTGACTGAGAAGATGAGAAGGCAGAAGTATGAGGTGAGCCAATTAGCATATATATATACAAGACAGCTATTTTTAAATGGCTTGTTTGTGATGTCAGAACCTGCATTTCATTTTCAGATAAATGTCCTCCTGAACAGAATCCAACATGCTCAGAAATTGTGAGTCAAAGTTTGTCTCAGTCTATCATGATACAACTCACACACCCCAAGAGCACTGTAGAGAATTACTTTGCATCGACTATGTAAATATACCCTGGATAGATGATCCACAGAAATGCTAAACGCAGCTTTTTATCATTTGGCAATTTATTTATAGGATGGCACATGTCTAAAATATTTACATAAAATGATACCACTTCCCTTTTTACCCCCAGTCTGTCACACTTGCTGGTTATTTCTGTGAATGTAATCAACTTTTTTCTTGTTTCAATGCAGTAAAAAGGGCCATGGTAAGGGGAAGGTTGGAGGACGCTGGAAGTGACCTCACACAGGCACAAAGAACCAATAGTTCATAGTTTCAGGATGAGATAGCAACAGTTTTGCAGTATTCATCACTTATATTAGGCTTAGTGACATATGCTGGATCTGTGTGACATTTATTGAAACACATACATCTGTAATGTTTAAAATGAAATAAACTGGACATTTCCAGTGTCATTCAAATTTAAAATAAAATATGATTATTATTCTTGAAAATTCAGACATTGAAAGACTCACAGCTCACTCTGGAGATCTTGTTAAATATTCACTGTGGAACAATAGAACCTTGACTGTCGATCTGTTGGTGCTGAACCACTTTTACTTTCTCTGTGGTATGAAAACAGCGTGGATGTCATCACTCTTCCCTCCTTGCCATGGTTCAAAAGTAGCCTCTAGAGCAATGCTCGCCACCTTCTTTGCAAAGCCTGCTTCCTGCTCTTTGTTCAGATCCAAAATGTACCTGAGATATACAGTGACACAAACCTGAGACATAAATTCAAAGACATCCTGATCACTGAATTTAAATATGCATTGAACATACAGCAGTAAAATCAGATACATAAAAGCAAACACTGCACATAGCAGAGTCATTGTATCGTTGGTGACTGTACTGTCACCATGGTAACAAGCCATGTTACTATAAAAATCCTTACTTGGCCAACTCCACGACAAGCACTGCATCTGGTGCTGCAATCTGTCGCATCATCGGGCCCAACTGGTGCACGCAGCTTTACAGCATAGACCCGAGAGGGAGACAGAAACACAGAAATGAAAGCTGGTCATCAATCATCAATCGGTAGTCTGCGGTCAGTGAAGGGATCCTGCTTTAGGATAAGTCACTACATTTAAGAGAATATGGATTATTTATTCAATAAAAGTATATAAGAGAAAACATGCTCTCACCTGGCAGAGAAGTAGATTGTGTTGAAGAGGTGGGAGTATTTCTGTTTTTCTGGCAATTTGTGAAGAGAGTCCATAGGTAAGAAGGTTACTGAGATGCCATTCAGATGCATCAAGTCTGAAGAGGATTTGAGAAACCAAAACCATAAAGCTTCAAAAACAGTTACTGTTTTCTGTAAACACCGAGCAGGCTTCAGAGGAATGAGAAGTGATCCACCCATATGCTGCAAACCTTTCAGATCCAATTTCTATTTACACTTCTATCTAAACATGTACATTAAAACACACTCAGCAACAAATTATCCAACACTACCGAAATCTACCTTTCAGCTCAGTCTGAAACCTCTGTCACTGTGTGAGCAGCTGTTTTGGTTCCAACCTGCTCTGTATTGCCAGCTGGAGTTAACAACCATTTACCATTAATGGTGACAGATTTTCGGTCAGTTTGAGTGGATGGCTCCTCTGCCTCTGACTGAGAAGTAGTGGGGCAGCCCCTTCTACTGGACAGGGACTGGAACAATGCCTGCACATTCACAAAGGAGATATCCTGGGCTGTCTGTCCACAGGAGGAAAGGGAGGGCGGACAAAAGTATGTTCCTCAGTCTATGCACAACTTACTGCCACTGTACAATAAAAAAGACTATAATCAAACATATAACTGTTACAATTGCATATTTTACCTTGATATGGTGCCCATTCTGTGTCTTCAGTAGGCTCTTGTCATCAGATTCAATGCCGAAGGAGAGGTAGGGACTGGACACAATGTCTCCCCAGTACCCCCTGAGAGACACTTTGTTCCCTCTCTGTCCACACGCAGAATGTTATGTCCTTAATGGTACCATCTTATTGCGTAGCATCTTAAAAAGCAGAGTAGCACTGACCTGACTGAACACTCTTGAAGACAGCACAGTTGGATTGGTTATTTGGTAGGCACCTTCCCTCATTTCGAACGCCAAACCCCGTTCCCTCCATTGCACATATTGTTGTTTACTGATAATGCCACACTGCAGACAGATACATATAAGAGAAAGAAAGAACATCTACAGTATCTTGTAGTACAACATGCTGTATAAGCCTGCATATTAGTGCAAAACAAAAATGTATGTAGGAAAATGTTAAAATCCAACACATTTGAGGAGCACATTTAAATAACCATATTATATTACCCCTTTCTCATGCAGTTTCATTGAAAGGTCCCAGTCAAAGCAGCCTTTCTTGGAGTCGTACCGCTCCCCAAGGTGCTGCCTGACTCGATAATCCCAGGCTTTGGACATTACAGCAGGAGCAGAATACTCAGATGAGGAAGACTGAGGCTGCATCCACAACTTGAATATTCTGGCCAGCTCGTCTCGCTCCTTGAACTGTAGAAATATTCAGCGTATGAAATTAGTAGACTTTTACTAAAATAGTGGGGTTTAACACTGTGTATTCTGATTTCAGTGTTTGATTTCAGAATATGATCAAGCATGAGGTTGTTAGGGTGAAGGTGTAAACAGGTCTTATAAAAACACCGATGGTACAAGCGTACCTTGAGAAGGATTGTGTTCAGACAGGGGTGTGCGGCTGTTTCCAGTGTTTCAGTGACAGACAGAGAGAGCTGCAATACTGCATGTCTCAGTGTCTCCTCTGTCTGACTGCGGATCTCACTGTTCCCAAACACCTCCAGGAAAACCTCTGCCTTCTCTGAACATAAAAACCAGGAAAAGACAACCTGTGGGTTTTGGACACATCTAGCTTTAGCAGTTATAAAGTTAAAATTTTAATCAAATCCCACCCACCATTGAGTCCCATGTTCTCTTGAGGCATCAGTGCCAGGTAGAGGAGCAGCAGCTGTCTAGCCACCACCTCCATACTGTTTTCTATTACCCACACCTGCAGTGGAGCAGAGAGAAGAGGTCTGCAGCTCACAGTAGAGTACCAATCTGTTTTCAGACGTAGCAGGCTAGTTTAAGAGGCTGAGACTCACATGAAGGCGTTCGTCACTCTGTAAACCAGCAATGGTCTTCAAAATATGTCGTGGATCTCCACTGCCAACCAGTAAAACATTGACCTCCCCTTCATGTCTCACAGGGCCTAGACAGAGCGAAAGCATACAGTAGGTCCAGTATACCATACATCTAGGTCTGGGTATCAAATCTCAATACGTTTTTACTTATTTTTTATTTAAATGACATATAATAAGTTTTAGAAACTATCACCAGAGGATTTTGACCTTTTTTCTGAAATAAAAAATAAGAATTTTTTTTATACAGTAGGTCCAAAATTATGACATTGAAAAAGTATTATTTTGGAAGTGGTTACTGAAACGTAAGTGTCATAAGAGCTCCACTATCGATTAGTCAGCTAATCATTTCAGCTCCTCGTGGGCTCTCACCCATAGTGAGCAGGTCGCGCGCAGGACTGAAGCCCCACCAGGTGATGCAGCCTGCGCCCTCAGAGGCCCGTCCAGCACTCATCCTGTTGTGCCCAAAGAAAGACAAGCCAAGCTGTACACATGCCTGTAAGTCATCTACACCAACACTAAACAAACAGGGGTATCCTACGTTATTGACCGCACGGTTCTTATGTGATGTATTTTAGCACGATTGCTAACTAAGGCTAGCTAATGGTAAAGTTGCTTAGACTAAAGAGCATCTAATCTTAACTTATCAGTATAGCTGTTACCCCGTGGCACAAACCCATCCCCAACCTCAATGCGGCGATAAAAACCTATTATAGGAGGCGACTCGATATCTTCCAAAGCAAAATTGACGGGAAACTCACCGCACAGACGGTATATAATACAGTGTACTCTGTTTGCAGCTATACCTCTCTCAACAGAAAGCTTGGGTTCTGTTGCTAGGCAACAGTTTTTGAACGGGGAGGACGGTCGCCATCTACCTGTGATATAAGCTAACTACATTTGATAGTAGTATACCTGTGTACTGCGGTATTGTGCTGAATCATGGTTCAAATGTTGTAATACTCATAATATTCTTCTCCTTTCTACAACATCCTACATCTCTATAACAGTATTCTAAAGTAATTTGTAAACCTGCAGCCTTTCTCACTGCTTCTCACAGAAGGACATCAACTAATAGCATCTATCCATTACATTTAATTTGATTTGAAGAAAGAAAGTAAGAGAAGCATCGACATGGAAGTTTACATTGTGGGTTTATTTGTATTTGAAAAGATCAGGACTGTGGTGCATCACAGCACAACACAATGAGCAAAACGAACCAGTGTAGCCTATGTAATATGAGATGCAGAAGCTCTATAATGTCTTCAGAGTCAACTAATTTTTCTGAAGAATGCAGAGAAATGTTGAAATCCTTTCTTTAGGCCACCAAATTTTACTAGGCCCATACATGAGTATACACAACAGATGCATGTTTACATTTTCCATGTATACAAGTACATACTCATGTTGATTTGCAGGTGTAACAGGTATACTGAACATGCAGAGGTTTTAATAACTTTTAATAACAACCAAATCTCATGATGCTCCCACACATACACAAAAATAAATATCTCAAAAGAAACATATAGCAAAAGTGTTAAGTGAAAAAAACATCAGGGTTAACACCAAATGACATATCCACAATAGCGAGGTTTTGATTAGCGAGGTTTTGCTTTGAGTGCTGCATCAACTTCTTCTTCTGGCATGAGAGTGTGCCACTGGGCTACTGGACGTCTGGGATTAGCCAGCATGTCTGACCAGTGGCGCAGGCCGACTCCTGTAGCTCCGTAACCCACGAAGGTCTTTCCAATGGGGTCATTGCTCCCAAGTTTATCATAGTCCAACACTGTGATGACAACATGCCTACATCAACACTTACTTTCTGTTACATTTCAAGGTGCACAGCCTACCTGTATCTGCTCAAAGGGGACATCAAAGCTAAAACTTTCATTAAAGTAGGGATTTAGTGTGTTTTTCTTGACTGTTGTCTTTTTCTTCTTAATCCGTTTCCCGTTCTGCTGAAGAACAATCTTCACATATGGATCTTGTGGAAATGGAAAATAGGGTGAACAATTTAACTTCTTCATTTGACTGATATTTTCTGTGTAGTCATTTTAATAAGACATGAAACAAACATTTGATATTGTATGAATAAATATCTGTAGGTGTGATTACCTGATAAGCCACCAACATCCATTTTTTTCAGGTTTTTTGCCTCCATGATGTTCACTGTCAGTTTCCCAGCAGTAGGCACATAGCGTAAAGAAATGCATATATCACCCAGTTTTTCCTGTTGGGCAAAAATGTTTATGTCTAGCATGTCCCATCAAATTAAACAAAAACATCTTTTACATACTGTACAGTAAGTGGTGCTTATTATGATTTCTTAATTTTTTAAAACACTGTTGTACAATATATTATTTGGTGGTTATAAATACTTGAGGATGAAATTTGTAATATTTAGAATTTTCTTTATTAGTGCAAATATTTATGTTGCAGATTTACATGAACTGGGATGAGGTGAAATGAAAGCATATCATACCTCTTCCTTCTCACCACTCTCCAAGTCTCGCCACTGTTGCATTGGCTGACCCAAATCAACACTGCTCATGGGAATCTTTATCTCACCAATCATATCATGCTTGGAGAAACGATCGAAGTCAAAAACCTGCAGCACCAAAGTCTTTCCACCCAACTCTGCATATGGTATCTAGAAGGAGAGGTTATTCATAATGAGCACTGGGTAGAGATCTGACAAGTTTGTTTATATGTACAAACACACAAAGAACATATAGTCCCAGGTTACAATTAAAAGCATATTACATTGCTATTTTTGGGGGGTGGATACCTTGACAGATGCCATTCAAGGAATGAAAGACTATAGACAGGGAAAGTAGAAACTAGCTGCAACAGAGCTATAATGACGACACAAAAACAGACATCAAGTCAACGAAGACACGGTGTCATGCAGGTGGTACCTTGAAGAAGAAAGTCTCATTGAAAACAGGACATAAATTCTTGCGTTGCATCTTTGTCTCATACTTCTTTTTTTTGTCTGGCAACAAAAACACTTTGACATAGGGGTCTGAGGTTCCCCCCATGTCCATAGCAGCAAGGTCTTGAGCCTGAAGGATACCCACTATGAGCTTCAAAATAAAGCAAAGGTGTAAGTGGTCAGGATAATTATGTAAACTATGAATTTATTTTTGAGAGTTATTTATATACAGTAGCCTACCTGGGCTTCTGTGAAGTTGTAGTCCAATGAGAACTCCAGTTTACCCAACTTCTCCTGTTGTTTCTGCTCTTGCTGCCCTTCCTTCTTCACTTCTCCCTCCTACAAGAGACAAGCATCAATGAGCTGGATGTTCATCTGAAGATTCAGGTAAGATTGTACAATAATGGATTAGTGGAAATCACACACCTTCTCTACAGTCTCTCCTTCACCTTCCTTTGTCATTCTGCGACGACCTGCCTTTCTCTCCCTCACTTTCTTTGGCTTTTTCTTTTTCCCAAAGCATTTTTTGAAACAACAGAAGATGAAGCATGCCACCAAAACCAGGACCACCACAGTAATGGCTCCTACTGCCCACATGGGAACTGCAAAATAAAACGAGGTATATTCACAAATCACTTATGACTGTATACAGAATAGAAGTACACTTATTATAGCAAAACAGGGTGGATATCTGATCAGCTAACATCCATTACATCCACAAAAATATAAATCCTAACCCCCCAACAACAACAAAACAAACAAAAAAACATGCATTTGAATCTGCTCTTTATTTAGATGTTATAAGTTTTAAACACTAGCCTCTTTTCAAGATGATTTAAAGCTTTCACATCTTGAGATTATAGAAAAATCCACTATGATAAATGAGTTTACTTTTATAATCTAAGACAACTGTTTTGTAGAATATCAACTGCTTTATCAAAGCTTGGAAAACAGAACCAAGGCCATCAAAATAAAATATGATTCTACTGAAATAAAATATAGTGCTTATTACAACCGTGGGCTGGAGCATTTCTACACTGACCTTAACATTTTTAAAGCACATGTTTATCAGGGGACTGTTTGCCAAGCATACATGCATGTTGTCAGCAACACCCTTCTCCACAATCAGATAATAACATACTCCCGGTTGGGAGTGGCAGTGTACAAACGCAGCCACCAACACCGGCATCGCTGCTGCTGTGTATCATTAAGAGCTTTGCTCACGACACCACAGCAGTGCTTCTTAAACCTTTCTCATGCACTGTTCCTTCTTGGATTTTCATGGCCATGAATGTCAAAATTGGTTGGCATAATAAACAGCTGTTTTTTGTATAAAGACATAATTTTCATTAGAACAAGCTGGACTAAACTGGTCAATACAGATAAAAAATAATATTTATATATTTATTTATATTCCCCTTCCAAATAATAACCAAAAATAAACAGTCAGTTTCATTCAACAAATTAAGTTATGAATCTCTCTTTACCATTTTCACTAGCAAGTTCTAGTGGCTTACTTGTCAGGTGACTAAGATCATTCATGAACTTGTCCTTCATGTGGTTGTAGTCATGGCTGGGGTGATGTTCTGTATGATGGTGCTCGTGCTCGTGGTGTTTTGAATGGGAGTGCTCATGGTGAACTGGTTCTGTTGTTTCATCTGACTCTGGTTCAGACAGCTCCGCAGCCCTCTGGGCCCGCACCCCAGTGCTGACTGATCTCATGGTAGCTGTCAAAATGGCAGAATGACTGCAGTTACGGTATTCATATAGTGTTAGTTTGTTACCCTGTCTGGTGAGTTGGCCCCAACAATGATAGATAACACAAATTCATGTGTATACTGTGTAATCCATATGTGCGTGCATTGCAGTATAGCTCCAGAGCATAGGCGATCTCTAAACCAGATGCTCAACATGGCTGGCCCTAATCCCTCTATTGCTCTGTCATCTCCACTGGCCCGTAACCCCCCATCCCATTCCCATTTTACTCTCATCACTGTCTGCGCATAGCTGGATTAAACTCTGGCGCAACAATATTAATCCAAAATCCCATATCCTAAAAGCTTATATAAATAGGGTTGATCTCCTCCCTAAATTTTCCTCACCTATAGCCTTTGTTTCAGGCCATCTTTACCTTGGAGAATTTACAAAAAAAGACAACAGTTCATTAAGGCATTTAAAAGGAAGCCCAGTGTTGTTTTTATTTGCAGTTTTTATGGATGCTTATCCACACAATATTTAAAATAAGAAAAACTAAACAATTTTTAGAATATACATGTGAAAAGTAACATTTTGCTGCAGTCAGACATTTCTAGGCAGGTATCACATCTGTCTCTTTGCAAATACTTTGAATAGAGCATGATTCAGAATGAAATTAAACCATTATCGGAATCTATTCACATTTACAGGTAACTAGGTATTAGGGAAGGAAGCTTATATCCAGATTTATAGGAAACTACAAAAATCACTCGCATCAAATGAACCACACAGGATGTCATCCAGTTCTTTATGCAAGGTTCATAACCAATAGGATTTTATCATAACTGACTTATAAACATTTAGGTTTTTTCTATGTTCAAATGTTTTGCAGTGTAATGATCTTGGTCATAACAGAAATGTTTGATTTCTATGCATGTCTTACCTGTTGATATGTTCCTTTAATTCCTTCTATACCAGAGCTGCCGCTGGAATGACTTTTACTTTAAATGTTTTTCTGGTTGCTTTCCCCTTGGCCTGCTGGAGCCTTTATGCACCCATCGTTCCTTTGGTGTACTGCAAACTGACTGGCAGGCTCCCTGCAACCCCTTCCATCAGAGCTAAAGCGCTGGCAAATCACTGTAGCAATGTTTTCATTTAATCCCCCCCTCCCCCCAGATATTAGAATGCTGACAACACATCTGTTGGTTTGTCTCTAAATGAAGATGCATAAACAGTCAAATGAATTACTTTACTCTTCATACACCTTGAGCAATTTAAGGTCTTTATATGTTGGGTAGAAAAAAAGAAACTGTTCATTAGACTGATGAGTAATTGAAACATGGCAGTGGTGGCTGTGCTTATCCATTAGACTGAAGAGATTGTAGTGCATCCAGCCTTCACTAATCCCCTCAGCATAGCTGAGTCCATCATCAGTCTACCACTAACAACTATCACTGAGAGATATCCCACCCTCCCCGTCCCTTGGCTTACTATACAAAGCACATACCTGTACTCAGAGCAATGTGAACATTAATCCTCAGGCATGCAGCCAACAGTTAGCACAGCTAGACTTGGCTCCAATCCAACATGCAAATCTCATCTAATAGTTCAAAATGAAATGAAAACAAATAGGGATTGAATATTGTGAACTTTGTAGCATTTATTTCAGGGCCGTTGTATTAGTTGCATTATATGCCTAAGTGTTTAGGAAGACATTGTCTTGGTTACTTTGGCTTTAGCAGTGTGGAAGGTCAGCTAACTGACAGACTATACATAACGCTATACTATAATATTGATTATACTCTGTTTTGTAAACACTGTTGATGTTCTCTTTAACTTATATTTCTTGGTCAAACAGATTTGATCCAAATATTCAAAGAAATGTGTATTATTTATCTAGGGAGTGTTGCACTAGTGTATTGCTACACTACAACTGAAACATTAACAGAGTAAAAAAAAATTATCTCTGGCTGTGACCTACTCTAATTACACACGTCTACAACTAAATCTTATTTTTGCTAAAACATCTAATTTACTAAGCAGCAGCCCGAGCCTTTCCCCTACCACAGGTTGTCTGGAAGCCCATTGTTAATGCCCAACATTAAAGGTGAGCTACCTCACCAACCAGTGAGTAAGCAAAGTACTACTCTTCTACAGGTGCAGACATTCGGAAAAGCACCCATATGTTTTCAGTACAGCAGAGATCGGGTCGTTGGGGCCCCTGCCTTCGACTGGTGCCCGATCCACTGTGCACCAGCCCCTTATGGATCCTCCTGCAGGTGGTGGGCCCACGGGAGGACGTCCCCACTTCGCTCATACGGGCTAAGCCAGGCTGGGCCCCATGAGGGGAGGCCCAGCCACCAGGCGCTCGCATTTGAGCCCCAACCCCTGGCCTGGCTCCAGGGTGGGGCCCCGGTTGCGCCATGCCAGGCAACATCACGGTCCTTTAATTCTATTCATAAAGGGCTTTTTG